GCTGGGTCATATGGTGACTGTATGTTTAACTTTCTGAGGAAGTGCCAACTGTTTTCAATAGTGGCTGCACAGTTTTACATTCCAATCAACAGTGCATGAGGGTTCTGATTTCTCCACATCCTCACCAACATTTGTTATTTTCCTGTCTTTAATTTTTTTTTTAAACATATCTTTATTAATCTCAGAGAGAGGAAAGGAGAGGGAGAGAGAAAGATAGAAACATCAATGATGAGAGAGTCACTGATCAGCTGCCTCCTGCATGCCCCCGACTGGGGATAGAGCCCACAACCCGGGCATGTGCCCTGACCGGGAATCGGACCCCGATAGCCTAGATCCTAGGTCGACGCTCAACCGCTGAGCTACGCCCAGCTGGGCCCCTGTCTTTAATTTTAGCCATACTAGTAGATGTGAAGTGTTATCTCAATTTGATTTTGATTTCCATTTGTTATAGCTTTGTGATGAATTAATTCTTATTAATGGATAATGTCTCACTGTCTCATAACAGTTTTTTACTTATTTTGTCATACATTAGTACAGCCACACAAGCTCTTTGTATGGAAAATCTTTTTCCATTTCTTTACTTCCCACCTCTTTGCATCTTAGGTCTAAAGTGAGTCTCTCTTAAGCAACATATAGTTGAATTGGGCTTGGGGTTTTTAATCAGTTTTGCCAATGTCTATTATTCAATTGATTAGAGAGTTTAATCCATTTACATTTAAAGTAATTTCTGATAGGGGAGACCAATGGCAGTGTGCAGGACCAGAGCGAGGGTGAGAGTGTGGGTGGGTGGGAATGAGGGAGAGGATGCATGGTGTGCATGTGAGTGGGCATCTGTGGTCAGTGCGGGAACTCTGGCAGGCAGTTTGGGTGCTCCTGACAGAGGAGCTGCCAGCCACTGCCATGCGCAGCTCCACAGGCCCTTCTCTTCTCTGGAGATTGAAGAGTGCACCATTTTGGAGGAGGCTGTGGAAGCAGCCCTGCCCTAGTGCCCCTAGGCCGCAGACAGGCCCGGAGGGCCCCAGCTCTGGGACCTCTGGCCCCTGGACCCAGAGAACTGCCATAGCAACCCAGTGCGCCTGAACAATAGCCCCCTGCCCCATCATCTTGGCCTGCCCCATCAAAATGAAACCAAAAAAGGACCCCAAATAGCTGCAGCAATCTTGAGACAGAAGAACAAAGTTGGAGGGATCACAATACCAGATATCAAGTTATACCAGTAAGCCACTGTAATCAAAACAGCCTGGTACTGGCGCAAGAACAGGCATCTAGATCAATGGAACAAAACAGAGAATCCAGAAACCAACCCAAGCCATTACGCTCAATATATGACAAAGGAGGCCAGAGCATACAATGAAGTAAAGATAATCTCTTCAATAAATGGTGCTGGGATAACTGGACAGATACATGCAAAAAAATGAACCAACAACTTATACCGTACACAAGAATAAACTAAAAATGGATAAAAGACTTAAATATAAGTCATGAAACCATACAAATCCTAGAAGAAAACATAGAAAGCAAAATATCAAACATCCCATGTAGCAGAATTTTCACTGATACAACACCTGGGGCAAGAGATGCAGGCAGATGAGGGCCAGAATAGGTCTCTCTAGGGCTCAAGACCCAGGGCAGGCAAGCCCTCTGCTCGGGCATAAGTGCAATACTTGCCTAAGCTACAAGAAAATTAATCTACCTGATGAAAGGGGCAGCACTTACGGGTCTTTCATAATTAGTCCTTATTCGTGAGAACACCTTACCCAAGTTTGAGAAATCATCCCAATAAACTCCTAGTTCTGAATGTTGCTGCCTCAGAATCAGATCGGGCATACATAAAATTGTTGTTATGAAGAACCAATGAGGTTGAGACCCACTCATGTCCTTTGACAGGAGCACTCCACCTGATTATCTGAACCAATTTAGCCATTAAAACCTGCCCTAGAAAAGTCTAAAAGGAAAAGGAAATGATGATGTCTACTGTTGGCAAGGAGGCTAAGAAAACACACTCTCCTCAACTACAAAATGTGCACAACCATTTTGAAAACCAAATTGACAATATTTACTAAAAGTCTTAGGAAAGTCCTGTTTCATGAATCCGCCTAATCACCTCTAGGGATTAAAGCCAAGGAAATATTTATGTAGCCAGTAGACACTAAAAACTATTCCATAATATATAAAAGAGCTTGGGGGCAATTTTGAAAAGAAAGTTTGAGTGAAGGGGATGGAAAAGGAAAAACAATTTTAAAAGCCAGTGAGCTAATGAGAAGATTAGGTGAAGCCGAGCGAACTCACCATTACTGGGACAAAGGCATTTCACTTAAGATCACTGATGTCTTCTAGTCATTTTGAAATTTGATTGTGTTACTCCAGGTAATCGCCTTCTCAGTAATCCACCTTCCCAAACTCTTGCATAAGTTCTGATAAACTCCAAAATTCTTAGTATGTGTGATTTTATTTTTGCTGGAATTCAAGGGAGAGTTTTGCACCTGGAAGAATGGGTATGGTACAAGTCGGTTAGCACATGAAGACGGAATTCTGGAGGCCAGTGTATCCCTGAGAATGTAAACATTTCTGAAGATAGCAGAGGTCTGACGGATGCTAGACTTTCAAAAGCCATGCAGTTGGTGGAAGTGTGAGACAGTTTAACTACATCTTTCCTGTTAATCAGGAAAATTCCATAAACTGATATTTGCGTTACACAACAAAGCCATTTTCATTCTATTAAAGAAAAATTTTAGAATGCTATGCAACACGTTTCCAGATGTTTTCTTTAAATAGTAGTAATGCTGCTGGCTATTGCCTTTTTCTCTGTTTTTATATTTCCTGATTCTTCTCAATAAAGTACATGTTACACAATAAAACTATTTTTAAATATTGTTTTTAATAGACATAAAAAGAAAAATGAAACAAAAATCTTTCAAACAAACACAACTTCCCTGACTGACCCATTTAAATAATCCAACACCTAGTTATAGGTGGATTTTCGACTGTGGGAGGTTGGCAACCCTAACCTCCGCATTGTTCAATGGTCAACTATTATTTGCTCTCCTACCTCCTGAACTCCATGGAGCTTGGTGGGTGAATTATCCAGAAATTTATTATACTTATGTCCTTTTATAAGTAGTACACTAAAACAATTTGTACTTTTAAAAGTCCCAAATTTTTGAGGCCCTTAGATGTAACAGTAAGTACTAACTGGTGATTTCTTCCTTATTAAGAAACATCGTGTTCTGTACTCATCCCATCGTGCTCATGGGAACACCTACTGTTCAAGCTCTAAGAAGATTTTGGGGGAAAGAAGACTCTCATGGGATCAATCTCGGAGATCTAGCCTCATAGATTCTCTGACAACGGGACAGAAAAACAGACACACATGCGCACACACACATGAGAGCACACACACATTACTGAAGTGGGAGTAGAGAGACCCCATTTTTTCTAAGATGCAGCCTTAATGTTACCTGTGGGACAAAGGAATGCGAGTTTTCTAATCAAGGAGTACAGAATGTTCTTCTCTCAGGTTAGGTACAGAATGTCCTCTCCATCACAAGGGCAATACATTTTGTTAGTATAAATAAAGTCATCTTCAAAACTCAAAGATCAATTTATCAGCCCTGCCCTGTTTATATTTCTCTCCTTATCAAGAACAGAGTCCATGATTTACTTCCTAACTCTATAGCCAATAACTAGGACTCCTTTGTTTCTCTTCTTTTGGTCATTTGGTTCCTTGGGCACACCACAACCCTGTATTAACCCAACTCTCTTCTGCATTTAGAAAGATGAGTGTTGCTGGTGGCCTTACACAAAAGCATACATCAATTCTAGTATAAATGCATGGTTATCAATCTCAATTAGTTCACCTACACTATCCAGAAGCTATTGTGTTGAACTACGTGCAGTCAGAGCCTGAGTGAGAGGCTGTTAAGCTAAGGGCTGCTATAGAGATGGTAAAATCTCCGAAAGTTTATCGATACCAGTGCCCTGGTTGGGATCTCAGATAAACTGTCATGATTCAAAGGATTTATGGGTGGGTCTTAGACATGAAGATGACTGAGAACAACTTGAAAGAAAGTCTGTTAATCTTTCAAAAGAATTATAATGACACAGAAATCAAAGCCTGGGTAACAAATTCATTCATACCATTTCCTAAACCTGTACTAGTAGGAAACATGTTGCCAAAGTAGCAGAATCCCCAGAAGAATCACCCCAGCCCAGTCTCCAAGGTATGGCCACTGAGGTCAATGAACAAGGGAAACCTTCACAGAGATCAGAACAGAACAAATAAAAATTGACTAAAGAATTCTCTACACTGATGGGTGATTTTCAACCATGGCAGGCACACCAGTGTGCCACAAGAATTTTTAAAACATACAGTACCTGACTATTTCTGCATGTTCATTAGGACAATGTTTTATGCTGTTATCTCTGTCTTTTCTCCATTTTTTGCTGTTTCTAAATGAAATTTGTATTGGAGTCATCCTATTATTCCTCCATCATTGTATATTGCTTGTCTGTATATAATTAATGTAGGATGTGGAAATAAAAATTGGCTTCCATTTGGATTGACTAAAGTGATAGACACAACACCCAGAGATCCTAGACTAAGCTGAATGCAGTAAATGGAATAGGCTTCATTATTTATATTAACTCATTCATTCTTAAAAGTGAGTACATGTCTACCTTGGTCTATCTGGGCAGACAGCCAAAGTAGAGAAAGCACAGGTTCTTCTTACCAGTAGTCCATAGCCCACAGAATAGCATCAGGTGTGGTGGAATAGAACATGCTGTCTGATGCCATGTAGGGGTAGAGTGGGTGGCCTCAAATTTCCAGTGCCTGCCCACATGATACAAAGTCCACAGATCATAAGTTTGGGGATACCCTTCGTATCATACCATCTGTTCTGGTTCAGCGCATAAGAATCCAAGCCTCTGAGGAAGGTGACATGGTGTGCAACTCATTGGACCAAGAGCTTTGGCTGCCACCTCCTTTGGGAAGCCTGGCCATGAGGTTCCTCCTGATCATTGCAATTCTGCTGTTCCAGAAGCCCACAGGTAACCCAGAGTTTTCCAGGGGCTCACACAAATCAAAAATGGGATGGAGCATTTCTAAGAACCCAAGGTAATTTTATAATTCACAATAGAAGGAAGTAGGTCCCCTATGGACGGCTGAAGTCCACCCAACATCATCAGAAATTCTCTCTTCCTGAGGCCTTCTACCATGGTACGGTTCTTAAGAAAGAGTACTCAGAGCTGAAAAGAGACCATCATTTCCTCTGGGAAGGTCTCATTGTAGAAAACAGTGAGTCCAATATCTAGGGGAGCCCTTATTTCTTTGGATACAGTTTTTACTCTGGGTATCCAACCATACTGTCAGACAGATAGAGATATTAGTCTATTATACTACAGTGTGTGAATAGTGGAAAAAGCACAAACTTTGGAGTCAGGTTTGAGAAACAGGCCTTCAGTGTCTACTACTAGTTTGTCGACTTTGGATAAACAGTGAAAACTCTCTATGCCTCAGTTTCCTCAATGGAGGAGATAATGACACCTGACTCGTGAGGGCCTTATTAAATAATATGACATTTGTGAAGCACCTAGCATACGGTTTGGCACATACTAAGAGCTTAAAATTAGTTTTTTCTTTTCTCTTTCAAAACCTTATCTATTACAACTGTCTCTTATGATAGTAATAGTAATGGTCTGTCCCCTGCCCCTTACATTCCCAAAAATCTAAGGAGTTCTAGAACCTGGGGTTGGAAGCAGCATCTTTGTTCTCAGCCTTCATCCTCTGGGGCCTATTTCAGGAGACTGTGCCAGCCCAGAAACCAAAATTTGAACATCCTAACTCTTAGATGATTGAAAGTATTTAGGATCACTAAAGGAAAGGATATATATCAAGGTGAGCAAAGGTCTGGGGCTGAACACTGGAGGGATTCTTGCGACTGGAGGTAGAGGAAGGAGAAGGAATCACAGAGGGATAAGACGGGCCCAAGATTACTGCAGTGACACAGGAGCCAAAGGAAGGTAGGCAGTGGCCAAATGGACAGTGCTGGAACTAACAGGGGAGGAAGGTTACTGAGGGGAAAAAACACCTGACTGGACAAGAAAGTCATTCTTGACCATGGAAGTGAGTATGAACCCAAGAGCATAGTTTGACCCAGACATAGATACACAGTAAAAAGTTATTATACTCTGGGTATTAGAGGTGGAGCAGTGATAAAAAATTAATGCCCGGGAACATTCAAACAGAGGAAGGTTTGCGGAGATTCCCTGATGGAGCATAGTGCCATACCCTGAAGTCAAGGATTCAGCTCCTATATTTTCCCAAACAAGATCTGATGTTCTTGGTGGAGTAATCAGATATTGGCTGGAAGCCCAAAACCTTGGAGGGCTAAATAGGAGTGATCACAAGGACAGATACACTGAGGTTTACCCTCTCAGGGCACACTCTGTGGGACATCACAGGTATCTGCCTTGTGAATCTCCCCATACACCTGATCCCTACAAGCATCCTCTACCCTCCCCATGTTCCACAGTTGCCTTTCAGTCTCAAACACTGACCTTGGCCTATTGTTCTTCATGTGCACAGTAACTGAACAACTTAAGAAATGCTGGGATCAATATATACAAGGACACTGCAGGAAAATATGCAAAATAACTGAAGTACGGGAAGTATTATGTGAAAATGGGAGATATTGTTGCCTTAGTATCGTGGAACTGGAAGCACGTAAAAGAATTACACAGACACCTCGTCCAAAGCTAATGACATACGCACTAACCTTTCCTCAAGATTACAATCCATAGCCCGGCCAGGCATGGCTCAGAGGTTGAGCATCGACCTAGGATCCAGGAGATCACGGTCCAATTCCTGGTCAGGGCACATGGCCGGGTTGAGGCTCTATCCCCAGTCGGGGGCATGAAGGAGGCAGCGGACCAATGACGACCCTCTCATCACTGATGTTTCTATCTCTCTCTGAAATCAATAAAGATGTATTTAAAAAAAAAAAAAAAGATTATGATACATACATAGAAAGTTCTTTAGTCCCCGATAAATTAAGTACAATTCTCCATTTATTTATTTCTTAACCTATTCCAATATCCTAAGGTGAAGAAATCCATGTCTTTTCCCATCTGGTTCCTTAATCCTCAGAAAACCTTAAAGCAGATTCTAATAAAGTTCATTGCCAGTTTTCTGACTTATTTCTTCTTTAACCCATGACTGAACACTCAATATACCAAGTGATGAACTGACAAGGACAACTCAGAACCTCCCCCTTGAAAAGGTGATATAACCAGTACACTAAAAAAATAACAATAATAAATCTATGCTATGGAAAACTGAAACAAGAAACTCAGGAAAGTAGACATGTAATCAGGAGAGGGGATGGAGAAGCCGAGTATTCAGGAGAAATTCATGAGTGAGTTTAAAGTGCTGCCTTGTGAAATGTGTCAGATTTCAATAGGTGACCGATAGTAGAGAAGGTGATCCGAGTGAACAGATTGAAATCAACAAATGGAAGAAAACCAGAAAAGACAGGACATTTCAGGAGAATATACATGCACTTTGGTTTATGAACAGAACATCCGAAGTTGAACTATGGGTAGTCTGATTTCTTTAGTTCCTGTGTAAAATCAGTGAACTGGGCAGAGAGAGATGAGAAGATGCCATTAAGGTGGAGCTCACTGTGTAAGGTGGAGGTAGGCATAAATATATAATTCCAAAACAGAGCAGTTTCCTTGTTGTTTGCTTTTTTAACTTTATTTTTATTGTTGACACTATTACAGATGTCCCCATTCCCAGCCCCTTTGCCCACCTCCACCCAGCCCCTGCCACCCCTTCCCTCTGGCCATCACCACGCTGTGGTCTGTGTCTATGGGTTATGCACACCTGTTCTTTGGCTGATCCCTTCACCTTCTTTCATCCAGTCTCCCTCTCCCCTCTCCCTTCTGACAGCTGTGAGTCTCTTCCATGTATCCATGCCTCTATTGTTGTTTTGTGTGTTACCACTAGTAATGCATCCTTTTGGTGCCTGGGGACATTTGGAGTTTGGAGAAAATGTAAAGGACCTAGGAATTGGTCTGAATTGCAGTATTAGGCCCAAAATCCAGAAAAAGTATTACACTTGAGTGTAATACTTGAGTGTTATACTGGCAAGAATGTGGAATACAGCTCTCATTCACTGCAAGATGGGACATGCCACTTTGAAAGACACTTTGGCAGTTTCTTACAAAACTAAACACACTTTACCATACAATCCAGTAACTGCAGTCCTTGGTGTTTACCCAAATGAGCTAAAAACTCTCCACACAAAACCTGCACACAGGTGTTTATAGCAGCTTTATTCATAATTGCCAAAACTTGGAGGAAACCAAGATGCCTTGCAGTAAATGAATGGAAAAATAAACTGTGGTAACTCCAGACAATGGAATATTATTCACTGCTAAAGAGAAATGAGTTATCAAGTCATGAACAGACAGGAAGGAACCTTAAATGCACATTACTAAGTGAAAGGAGTCAATCTAAAAAGGCTACATTCTGCATGATTCCAACTATACAACATTCTGGAAAAGGCAAAACTATGGAGACAGTAAAGAGTTCAGGGAGGGAAGAACAGGTGAACCACAGAGAAATTTCAGGGCAATAAAATGATTCTATACTGTAGATACTGTAATGATTTTGCCAAAACCCATAGAATGTGCCACACTAAGAGTGAACACAAAAGTAACTCCGGACTTTGAGTGATGATGTGCCAGTGAAGATTCATCAATGCCAGATGTTGACAGGAGGCTGCGGGGTGGGGGTATATGGGAACTCCCTGTACCTTCCACTCAATTTTGCTATGAACCTAAAACTGCTCTAGAAATAGAGTCTATTAAAAATATATAAAATATATATATACCATTAAAACTCAACAGTTACTGCAGCAATTGTTTAGAACTTAAACCAACAAAAGTTTTTTATGGAGGAGTATTTTAATCAGACATAGTTTAGAACTGCCAGCACATGGTGATAATAAAAAGCAGACTTAGCTGGTTTTAGTATTGTTGTTTTTTAAAAAAATATATCTTTATTGATTTCAGAGAGAGAAAAGGAGAGGGAGAGACAGAGATAGAAACATCAATGATAAGAGAGTCATTGATCAGCTGCCTCCTGCATGCCCCCGACTGGGGATCAAGCCCACAATCCAGGCCTGTGCCCTGACCGGGAATCGAACCCCAATTGCCTGGATCCTAGGTCAAAACTCAACCGCTGAGGCACGCCCGGCCGGGCTTTAGTATTGTTCTTAAACTTATTACAGACAATGTATCTCCTTACTGCCTGCACCAAGGCTGACCACTCTGTCCAACAGTTTCCCTACTGGCTAATAAAGTGAACTAGGAAAAAAGTCACCTTCCGTCAAGGTTTTAAAAAACAAAACAGCTGTTAGGGCGTGACTGTACAATCTGAACAACCGTGAGCTGATAAAGCAGCTCTCAGGGTGGGGAAGGGACCTGATTTCCTGATTTAAAGCATTTGCTCACTTCCTTGGTGTAAACTCTCCGACACAGCTTATTTCCCCAATGTGAAGTGGCTGAAAGTGGAGCTGGGAAGAGATGTTCACAGTGGGCTCCATCTAGCTGGTCCAAGCCCCACCAGCACACCACTCCCGGGTATGCTGATGTGGTGATCAAAGCATATGTTATTAAGAGTCATGCAGCTGCTGCGTAACATGCCCTCCTGGCTCTTCTGACTGAAGGAGCATCCCAGAGCCGAGCAGACAGCAGCCCTGGCTGCACTCACACACAGCCTGGATGCTGGGATGCACACCCTGTGGGCAGCACACACCATCCTCAGTCACTCCCACCCTCCAGGCGAGGCAATCGCAGCAGCTTCCAAATCTAGAGGGGATGTTGGAAATCAAGCCACAGAAAAACAGTGAGCGAATGAAAGAAGTGACCTCAGAAGATCCTGAGACAGGGGTCTGAGGTTGGCCTGTGTGTGTCAGTGAATATGTGTAAGTCCTCCTGAATGTGTGTGATCTTGTGAACAACGATGGGTTTAAAACAACCAACCGTATGAGGCAGTCTTAGAGGGGAACGTGCCTTAGAGTCAGAAGATGCCCCTTCTTCCATTTCAAGCCACTGAAGTCACAGTTCTAACCTGCATAAGAGAGGTAGGAAGATAAGACCTTTGAACTGGATACAAGGCTGGAATTTTTAAACAGAAAAAAGTAGACAAGAATTTCTTGACTCTGACCAGGGTAGAAGTCCTTGATTCTTGACTCTTACTGAGTAGTGTCATTAGGAAACACTACTCAGCAAGAAAGGAGAAAAGCAAGCTCAGTTGGGAGGAAATCATATAATGATTTATAAAAACGTAAGGAACTTTAATAAACTACCTGTATTTTGCCATGGCCCACTCATCATACCTTCCAATAATGTAATGTCAACTGCTATTAATATTTTCTTTGCTTCATAAAATCTAGCCAGCAACTGACTACCCAAACTCTTTCCTGCTTGCTACTCAAGGAGCAATTGACACATGCTTGAACTGACCAAATAAATGAAAGTTGAGCTAATGCTAAATAATGAGTAGAGGTTGTTTTTTCAAAAAAGAACCGGTGGGGAAGGGATACAGAAAGAGAACGCAATGCATAGAAAACACCGTATGCCAGGGCCTTGGAGTTAGAGGAATGTGGCATACTTGAAGAAACAGGGCTCCTGGGAGAGAGCAGGAGAAAGGATAATGTTGCAGTTGGGCAGAGACCAGCTAGACTTATTAGGGCTGATCGGCCGTGTTAAAGATTTTGATCTTTAACTAAAGAGGAACAGGAAGCCATTAAATATTTTAAGCAGGGAATGATGTGGTCAGGTCTGCAGTTTTTAATCACTCTGTATTGAATGCAAAAAATGTAACTGGGAGTAGATATGGAAAGATTAAAAGATTATTACAATTGGCCAGGTGAGAGGTGGTTTGGACCACAGTCAAGGTAGTGAGGGGGAAAAGTGCGTAGATTAGCCCAGCTTGTGTGGCTCAGTGGTTGAGCATCGACCCATGAACCTGGAGGTCATGGTTCGGTTTCCGTCAGGGCACATGCCCAGGTTTCAGGCTCAACACCCAGTAGGGGGCGTGCAGGAGGCAGCCAGTCAATGGTTCTCTCTCATCATTTATGTTCCTATCTCTCTCTCCCTCTCCCTCCGTCTCTCTGAAATCAATAAAAACATATTTTTTAAAAGAACAAAGTGGGTAGATTAGAGAGCTAACTGTTCTGTTTGCCTCCAGAACTCTTCTTTCATTCGGCCTGGCCCCTACACTGTTCTCTGAACTACATTTCTATAATAAAATTTTATGATATTTTCATTCTATCTCAAACCTTTCAAGTACCTCTGTTTCCTACAAGGTCAAGTTCCAAAGATTTTAAAGATAAATCTGCAGTTTCACTTTTCATTGTTTTCTCAAACCTGAACATATTAGCCTATATTCCTTTTCTAATTGGGCAGCTCTCCCCTTAGTGGTATTTCTAAGATTAGCCCAATTACTCTGAATCTGTCCCTGAAAAGCTATTCTTGTTCCAGCCACATTAAAAGAGAGGTTCTCTGCTCCTGAATTCTTATTTCCAAGCTGGTGTGTTGAACATCTGTCAGGCAATTCACTTCCCAGCACTTTTTCTTTTATTTTGGTGGTAGGAATGAGTTTGTACATTTCCAAAGCTCTAGGGTACAGGCCTGTGACCTAGGCTATTATGAATAATGGTGCTATGAACATTTGTGTGCAAGTCTTTGGATGGACTATGTTTTTATTTTCTTGCATATATAATTAGGAGTGTAATTGTCAGATCATATGGTAAATCTGTTTACCATCTGAGGAACTGCCAGACTGTTTTCCACCGTGGCTGCACCATTTTGCATCCCACCTGCAGGGTACAGAGGGTTGGAGGTTCTCCACGTGCACACCAAAACGTATCTGTCTTTTTGATAACAGCAGTCCTCGTGAGTATGAAGTGGTAAATCACTGTGGTTTTGATTTGCATTTATCTGGCCGCTAATGTTGCATATTTTTTGCTTATTGGTCATTTGTATGTCTCCTTTGGAGAAATATCTATTCAGATCTTTTGTCCACTTTTTTCTTGTATGCAGTATATATTTTATTAGTTTGTACGAATATAGTCTCATTACAAAGGCAATGTAATGGAAGAACCTTTTGATATCTGAATCATCTGAAATAATACAAACAGAACCATACATTTTTTTTAAATCCTCTGAATACACACATAAAAAAAATTCAACAAAATTCCTTTCCTACAGTTGGACCTTAGAGTGGACCTAATTTGGTTTTCTTTTTTAAAGCCTCCAAAGACAGAAGTAGCTTAAAATTCAATTAAAATAAATTTTTTTTTAAATGTGTTTACTAAACTTCTGTCTCCAGCACCATTTTCTGGTTTCTGTTGTGTTGATACAGGTTCTCCTTTGTTTCTCCCCTTTGCTCTTTTTTTCTGGTCCAGTTGTACCATTTTTGTAGCTTTCATCATCACTATCAAATTTAGTTCTCTTGTCCTAAAACTGTACTTTTCCTTCAGCTGACCCAGCCTGGGCAACTTTATTTCCCTTTCTTTTTTTTTAAATCTGTGACCTACTGATTTCCATTTGTTAGGGATTCTTGAGGTTCTTCTGTGATCTGTTCCAGTGCTTCATGTTCCACGTCTCTCTCTAGTGCTTCCCACATCACTTTATTCCTTAACTGTAAGTTAACATGGTTTTTTGCATCTTCAGCTTTATCTAATGCTTCCTTAGCTTTTTCTTTAAATAGAATTATTCTTCTGCTGCTGCTCTGACAAGATCTATCCATTTCATTTCACCATGACTTGAGGAAAGGATGTGTAAATCTTCTCTGCAGGTTGGACCATCTAAGTTCCCCCAAAATTTCAGTAAATCATCCAATCTTTTCTTTTACAGATTTCATTTCAGCATTTTCTGCTAACTTTTGTTTTTCTTCTTGCTCTTGTTTAGCTTTCACTTTATTTTGCTTTCTTTCTTTTTTCTTTTCCTAAAGTAATCTTTGAAAAGCAAGGTCCCTATCTTTGTTCTTCTGGCCAGGTGTTCTTGAAAAACTCCTTAGCAGATTTAATGGTATAAAGCACAGCAAATGTTGACTCCTCAAGTGCTTTGCACAATGTTCTTCTCATCTGAATATTCAGTACCTGACTTTTATCTTCTAACCATTCTTTTATGTCAACAAGAGTGGCATCAGTTGGGAAGCTTTTAATATAAACAGATGTTTTTTACATCATTTTTATACATCATCAGTCAGTTGAAGGAGGGGTTTTCTTAGAGATCTGATTTTAGTTTTAGCTTCACCTATTTCCGTAAATTCTGCCTTTGATTTGCTCAGTGCTTCTATTGTTACATTGAAGTCTGTTAGATGGTTTAACCTGTTGAATTTCACCATTACCTCCAAAGGTACCCAGCCTTCATCCAGTTAGATCTGTTCCTTTAAAATTTTGTCCCGTGGAAATTGCAGTGACCAAAACAACACTCAATTTGATGACAGCTTCTGGCCTCCAGAGCAGCCATTTTTTATCATCACCATTGTCACCCATTCTGGTTATCTTTAAGGCCCTGGTCCCACAGAGCCAAGTCACAGGATCACTAACAGTGACAGCAGCCCCGGCTGGTGCTGCTCAGTGGTTAGAGCGTTGGCCCTAGCGTGGAAGGGTCTTGGGTTCAATTCCCGGTCAAGGGCACGTACATGGGTTGCAGGTTCCCTCCCTGCCCCCAGTTCTGGCGGGTGCGGGAGGCAACCAGTGGATGTGTCTCTCTTCTCTCCCCTCCCTCCTTCCCTTCCTCCCTCTCTTCTGAAAAGCAATGGGAACAATACCTTTGGATGAGGATCACCAATGATAAAGTAGACAAATAAACACACATCCAACAGCGCCGCCCACACCCCTCCTCCTACGCCTATGGAGGGTATAGGAGGACAGCAGGGAAAATCAAAGCAAAGTTTGCATCCACCCAAGGAATTCAAGGCTTGATTTTCTGTTCAGTTCACTATGCCCCTCTCTCCCAACACAGGAGACACTTCACGGGGTGATCTGACACTAACCACGCCAGAGGATTCTTGTGCCTAAGTGGTCGATGGACTGAAGTAGAATACAGGACACACACAGATTAAAGAAATTGGGCAAGACCCATCTTCACGGTGCAGTGACTAAATGGACCCACTCTAAAATTGGCCCTGGTTATCTACAGTGATGGAAGACTGAAAAACACAGGAGCCTGTGAAATGCTGCAGTAAAGAAAGTCCTTTCTATCTAAGCCTTTTTTAAAAACCCTCTAATAATTAGGTTGAAATAGTTATCTATTAGCTTCCATGATGCTGAAATCATCAACAAAAAATATTGAAAATTCTGCACTCTAGACCAGTCCGTGTTTCCTATACATTTCTCCAGAATTCTCAAAAGCCTCAGCTACTAGAAGGCAGGTCCTTGTAGGCTCTGACGACGTTTACATATTCATCTAAATACACGCTCCCAGTGAAACAAGAGGGAGAGCTGCGCGTGGAGGAACAGGCACATTGATTCCATCTCTCCCAGATGAGTAAATGTTAGCTCCATGAAAGCTTCCTAACCTGTACTTGAACCAAGCAACATCAATGGATGTACCACAAAATGTTCTGTTCTGTTCTGTTCTGTTCTGTTCTGTTCGCCCGAAGAGCATTTCCTACCATCATGACTTACTGAAACTGTATTTAGCTCAAGAAGAGTTTCTTAAATATGTCCTCCTTATTTATAAGGCTTTAAATTTCACACTATTTTAAATTTATTTTTAATTTCAGCTTTATTAGGGTATGATTGACTTACAAAATTGTAAGATATTTAAAGTGTACATCATTGTGATTTGATATATGTATATATTGTGAAAAGACTGCCCCATCTAGTTAATTAACACAATCATCACCACACATATGTATT